ACACTTCCACACTCAGGCTGGGATTGGAGTTCCAAATCCTGCCTCCAACCCTGTTCTCCTTTGTCCAAATAAACCTGGGTAAGGCTCTCCTTCCACCTGCATCTTTCCTTCCTGACTCGGAAAATCCGTATCTGCCCCGGAACAGCCATCCTTCCCCCACCTCCCCAAAAACAAGGCACACCAAAACGTGACCTCGGTGCTGCCCAGCCCAGCTGCACGCTCAGGAAGTGGAAGTGTGGAGACAAAAGCTGCCTGAGACAAGAACACAGAAATAGATAAAACCCCCACCAGCGCAGAGATCAGAGAGGCAGAGGATGAAAGGGCAGGAAATGGGTTTCCAATTGCAGGGAGCAGGTACCAAAGTGTTTGGAGAGGGAAGGGTTTACCACTGAGCTGCAGTTGGATCAGGGAATGTGGTGCCCGTGTGTTTTACAGCAGCCACGTGGTTTTGGCACTGTCAAACTGTCCAGCTCTGGGCCAGCACTCAGGAACAGCCCACAATGGGTATAAGATATAGGGTGATTCCCTCTTGCACAGAATGCAGCAAAATAAAAGGGTTTGGCCAAAGTCACTCAAAATATCCACCTCATCCCGAGCTGACAGTGCCCTGAGAGGTGCCTTTGCTCCCTGCTCCAGCTCCACCACTCTGTCACAGATGTCAGTGCAGTCCCAGCTGCCTTTGGCCAAGGATCCTGAAGGAACTGAGTTCCTAACTACTTGCAAACAGGAATCCCAAACTCAAAGACTGGTCATGACTTACCCCTTCAGATGTCAGTCCAGAGCAAAAGCAGCTCATGAGGGCAGGCAGTGATGTCAGAGGCTGACCCTGATCTGGGAGATCTGGGAGATGCAGACCCTGGAAATTCTGTTTTGCCAGCCTGGAAGCAAACAAACCCATCACCATCCATTTTTTTTTTTTCCAAGGCCCACATGACCAGTGCTCCCAGCTGTGTTCCTGTGTCACCCACCTGCTGGGACAAACACGGGTCAGCCCCAATCAGGTCTGTCCCTTGGGCTTTTGGCCATGTGAGAGCTCCTGGCAGAGAGGAGCTGGAAGGTCCTGGTTTCCTGTGTTCCACAAGGCCAGTGGTTCCTGTGAGATAGCAGGGCCATGGACACCTGTCATGGAGGCCCTGAGGATGTGCCTCACATTTCGGGTTTGTTCCGGATGTGAGCTGTGAGCTCATTTATATTCAGAAATCAGGCTGAAGGAAACACAAATACCACAAGGCTGGTCAGAGCAGAGGCTGGTATTAAAAAAAGAATAAATGAAAATCATCTCTTTTACTCCCTTCTATTTCACAGAATCACAGAGTACTTGGGGTTGGAAGGGACGTCTGGAGATCCAGGTCCTTCCATGGGGTCACCTTTCTGCTGCAACACCAGGCACAGTGTTCAAGTGATCTGAGCATTTACAGGGCTGCAATAAACCATACATTGTGTTGGATTAAAAATACAAGTTAAAATGCATGAAAAGCACCCTGGGAAACGCTGCATGTTGCTTCTAAACCCCACTGCCCAGGCTGTGACCAACTCGTGGGTAAATCCATCAGTGCCAAAGAGCATTTTCCCTTTGTCCCCTGCCCTCACCACCCTTCCATGGGGTCATTTTCCTTCCTGCTGAGAACTGGCTGCAGCTTCCTCTGGGGCCCACCACCACCACAGCTCTTCAATCAGCTCAGTGATCTGCCCTGAGCAGGGCAGGTCCCTCCCTTCCCCACCACGCTGAGCTCTTTATCTCCACCACCCGCTGCCCCGGAGAGTGTGGGAGCGGAAAGCGGAGCCAAGGCCCTGCACAGCAAACCTGATGTCACACAGCCTGCCCTGAGCTGCTCAGCTGGGCAAAACAATCCCTGGGCAGCACTTCTGCACCAACTCCAGGCACTGAGATGTTGAGGGAGACCTCACAGCTCATGGCAATGAATGTTTGAAGCGTTGTAACAAGAACCTGAATTCGTGGATTAAAAGGACGAACACGTCTAAAAGTTTCAGAGCACCAGCAAGGGGAGGACTGAACACGTTGGCAAGAGTCTGTGCAGGGTTCAACCACTGAAGAGCACAGAGTTAAGGGTCACAGGCTGAGCTAGAGGTGAGGAAGGCTCCTCTGGAGCAGCAAAGGACACTGCAGGCTGTGGCTGAGCAGCCTCCAGATTCCTCAGTGCATGTCTGGTGAGGGGGAGTTTTCACAGCACCTGCTGGAGAAAATGGATTTTGCCAGCTCCGTGGAACACCAAATAAAATGGCAAAAGAGGAGCCAAGAATGCAAGTGTCAGGTGCCAAGCTGGAGGAAACAACTTTGTAAACACCTTGTTCCTGCGTCCCCCTGCAGCTCTGGGCCTGAACTCCCCATGGTCACTTGGGGCTGAAAATAAACCAAGCCTGGTTAAACAGAGGGCAGCAACAGAGCTTTCTTTAGAAAATGCAGGTGTGGAATGTGACCTCTTCTCCATGTTTAGCAGGCCCACATGTCCCTAGATCAGCTGGTCCACAGTAGGCTGGGATGACTGGACAACTGCAGATACATTATGTAGGGCTGTCAGAAGAATGGCAGCTTTGTGGACTTGGGGAAGAGCAGGGAAAAAAGGAAGTTGCTATGGATATAACACAGAAAATGTTAACCCACTGGAATTGGACCAAGAGAGTGTTCAAATCATTAGTATGACACCAAGTTACCTGTCTTCAGAGCAGAAAATCAGGCTTTCCTTCTCTGATGAGTCAGAGGTAATTGCTCTCCATGCTCAAGGCACAGTGACTCATTACAACCAAAAAAGCATAGCTCTGAGAGTTAATAATCTGTGTTTTCATGGGCACTTGGCATTAGCAAGGAACTATTCACACTAAGGTGATCTTTGCAGGAAGGACCAGCACATCACCTGTGCACTTCAGTTACATGATGACACCAAGATTTCACACAGCACTCAGGGTAAGAGACATTCCCAGAAAACTAAAATGGGGTGGAAAGAGAACTGTGGTGTCAGGAGAGGTGTGCAGACACCAAACCATCGAGTGCCCCTTCAGAATAGTGTCAGATGAGCACGACATGGCAGCTAATGTGGTAAAATAAAGAGGCTTAAGAACACAAAGGCAAAGCTGCTGCATGGGGAATAAAGCACAGACAGTTATCAGAAGTGACTGGGAAAAATGGGCAGAGGTGGGGAATGTACTTTTCCAGCAGTGGATCCTGCTGGTGTGTTCAAGGCCCTGGAGTTTGGTGGGCTCAGGTTGCAGCAGAGCTCTGCTGAACAGGTCCCCAGTGCAGAGGCACTGCCTGATTTCAGCACTGGCTGATGAGCAGCACTTAATGAGGCTCTGCAGAGAAATCTCATGGCACACATTTGCACAGTACCTGCCAAAACCAGCCCTGCCTTCCCAGAGCTGTTTGCCCTTCACTTTTCCTTCAGCAGCAAAATGAACCTTCAGATGAAAGTGCTTTAGGGAAGCAATCCTCACCAAAACACAGAGGGGAGGGATTTGGGGCTGGGGAGAGGAGATTACAGAATATAAAGGATGCTGTGTGTCTTCAGGACTCCTTTGCTGTTACAAGAGGCAACAAACCCCTCCTTCCACACCACAACAGCATGACCCAGGTTAGGATTTTCACAACCTGTGCTCCCTCATGCCAGTCCTGTTTTCCCATTTCTCCAGGCTGTCAAGGTCCCTCTGACTGGCAGCACAACCATCACAGCAAAGGCTTTAGACTCAGTTTTACAGAGATCTGCCAGTGAAAAAAACCCAACAACAAAACCTTCCTGCACCTCCCACCCCCGGGGCTCTATTTTATTCTGTGCTGGGCCCTGACACATCACTTTTGCTGTGCCTGCAACAGGAGTTTGCAAGAGGAATGACACCTCCACAAAAGAGCCACAGGCACGTGGCTGAACAAATCACTGGCGTGGGGGCACACAGACAAAGTGCAGCAAGCCATAAAAGATGCAACTATTTACTGCCCAATAATGCCTGAACAGAGTTAGCTGGTTTTGTAGAGGAAGGGGGAGCACCAGGGAGGGTGCAAAAGATTAAAGCTGGCTGGAAAATATGTGGGTTTGTTTTGGTGGAAACTTTATGAATTGCTCCAGTGTAGAATCAGGTGTGGAAGTGATTTCACTGCAATTATACAGTTACATAAAAAGGCTAAATAATAATCAGAAAAGAATCTGAATTCCTTGTTTTATTAGATGAAAACATCAATCTTGTTTCAGTTATTTAGTAGGTGATAGAGTTGTAGCCCTCTGGCCACAATGATAAGATCACATTGCAAATAAATAAGAGAATGGTGAACAGAAAGAAGAGGAATCACAGTTCCATGAGTGTTTTTCAGGATACATTTCAGGGTATTTCCTGTACATTCCAGCACATTTTACAATGTGAATTCAGAGCAGAACAACCACCCATTCCAGTGTAGAACTCAGGTTCTGCAAAAGAGACACATCCCTGCAGCAGGAGGAGATATGTGACTGTGTGTCAGTGTTACAAGGCAGCTTTCACCCAGGCTTTTCTTTGGCTAATAGCAAGGTGTTAATTATTTATTTGTTTAATTAATACTGGTAACCCCAACTAAAGAGACCAACAAGGCCAAAAGAATGCTTAACCCTTTAGTGCTATCAAGGACAAGCAAGAAGTGCAAGATGAAAGAGAGTCAACATCAATGGCCTGTCTATCCCAGGATTCCCAAAGAGCTGAGGCAGTAGAAGTGCTGCAGCAAAGTGAAAACTGCACAGGCAGTGAAGGAACAAACCTCTGATTCCACTGAACTGGAAGAAGCTGAAAGGCTTCACATCTTTCACAATCAAGTTCTCAGAGGAGCAAACGAGAAACGTACAGTACAGGAACTGACTCAGTGAAAAGAGAAAATAGATGAGCAGACAGCACTGGTTTTGTTTCTTATTTCAAGCTGCAATCCCTTATTCTGGCACCCAGCTGCACAACATACCCTGAGCCACACCAAAGAGTCAGGGAGGGGAAAAAAAAAAATCACTAAGAAGAGAGGAAGAAAAGTTTTCAGCACCTCATCAGTTACAGCAACTTCTGGAGCTCAGGATTTTAAAACAGAGTCAGAAATCAGTGCAGGAATGGGAGAGCTTGGGAATTAACACTGACACTGGCTGAGAGCATCCCCTGGGGAAGCAGCCTGGCAGAATCCCCTTGGGAAAGCAACCCAAACCCAGCAGTGCAATTTTAAACTCTTAGTGTGATTCTACCAGGGACATGAAACCTTTCAGCACGTCACAAACCTTCCACGTGAGCTGCTGACAGACACCTCATTTAAATTAAGGAAAAATCCAATTAGCTGTATGAAATCAGTTTGCCAAAAGCCCAGAGGATGATTCACCTCTTACTGGCAAGTGACTGCTGCTGATAGCTCAGATTTTTAAGTGACTACCAATTTCAGAGGCTTAAAGAAAGTGCTGAAAAAATTAATATCAGATTAATGGCTGCACGTCAGACCAGGGAGGAGCAGAAATGGGGGTTGGTTGTTGTGTTTTATCCAGGTTCTGTGGCAAACCACACATCTTCCCAAAGCAGCAACCAGCAGTTTTTTTCCCTCTGCATGTAAATCACGATACACAAGCCCCAAATTCCAGGTGGAGCTCAATGCCCAGCACAGAACTGCACCTTCAGCCCAGCCCCCTGTGTCCCACAGGCCACCTCAGCAGCTGCTCCTCTCAGAGTGTCTCTCACAGCTCGTGGGAGCTGGAGTGGGGCTCTGGAAGAGTGTCAATGTCACAGTTCTTGATGAGCTGAAAGAGGAACTCGACCTGTTTCTCATAATTCTCAATGGAGATTCTCTCATTCAACCCATGGATCCTGGAAGAAAAAGAGGAGTGGTTTTTATTCCAGTGTGTATTTGTGACCCTCCTGCACCCACTTGCCTGTTGGCTTCATAAAACAATGCACATCATAAAAATACAGGAATATACAGCAAATTCTGCACTATAAGCAACCCAAATTTACTGATTTCTAAGGCTCAAAGCAAAACAACTATGTCTATGGTGCATGTGGAAAAAAAATTCCTAACAGTATTCCAGCTCTCTGCCCATTTCTTGGCCAGTTGTGTCCCTGTCCTGTACAGCCAGAACACTCTTCTGCATCATCTGCACCTCAGTAAAATGACACATCTAACATGTGCTAAATGAACAAATAATCCCTTGCATGATGATGTTGTTACCACTTTACTTCAGGAAACCCAATTTCCAGCTGTGAGGTGCAAATCAATTCAGAGTGGAATGTGTCCAAAAATATGAATAAATCTGCCCCACAGAGAGCTCCACAGCATTGCTGAACTACCCAATGAAACACCTAAATGAGCCCTGCCTGCATTTGAAGGAACAATTAGTAAGGGCTGACACTGTCCCAGGGTGATAGAGCAGCACCCAAATCTGCAGGAAATGGGTGGCCCGGCCGAGCGCGAGGCCACACCACCGGCACGCCAAGGTACACAAGGCTGGGTTTCCTCCTGCCTGATGCAGATGGATCTTGTCTTTCCCTGCTCCCCAGCCCAGCAGCTGGCCACAGCAGGCAGAGCTCAGTACCTGGGGAGATCCTCTGCTGTCAGGAGCAGCGGGTTGAAGCGGTAAATGGCGTTGGTGACGTTGGTGAAGTGCCTGCTGTCCGTGTTTCCAATGCACGTGCCTGGAAAACAAGCCCCGGGTTCACTCTGCATCACAGCAGCAATTTAACGACCCCCATTTCCCCCAGGAGAAGGGAAAGGCAGCTGATAACAGCTCTGTGTAACCACTGCTGACACCAAAACCACTGGAAACAGTGGGTTGGTACATCCTGGAAGGACGTTCTCTCCTCCAGCAACAGGAGCTGAACATATAATTCAGTCTAAGAACAGCCATGACACTCAGCCTCTCCCAAAATGTAAGCTTCAAACTGCAGTCCAACAAACACTGCAGAACTGGGAAGGAGCTGCAAGAAAGGGAAGGGGCTGGGATCCTAAGGAACAATACAGAAAAGCAGGAATGGCTTTGCCAGCTATGAAAACAATAAAAGAAGAACTAAAGCAAGAAGACCTCCTCCTCTCCCTCACAATCCCTTTCTTCCCTGAAGAGATCCCTTTGTGTGTGCAGAGAGTCCAATTCAAGGCTCATTGTTTCTGTCAGCTTCCTGTTTGCTTTTTTACTTCCACTACTAAAAAAACCCAACATTAAAACTTTTAAAGCATAAAGAGGGAACGGAATAAAAAGAGGAAAAAACAGCTGTTTCCAGTAGTTAACAGCTGGGGTGGAGAAGTACACAGCAAATGGAAACAAATGGGGGAGGAGGCAGAGAAAAGCAGGGCAGAAGCTGGAGAGGAAACAATTATCATGTGCCTGCTGTTACCTGGGACTACACTGTCAACATCTGGGAAAGTATCCAGAATGGTTTTTTGAAAAATATGGACTGCAAATGTCTGCTCATCCCAAGGACTGATGGGGAGTGGATCAAAGGCCTCTACTACATCAATCTTCACTCTGTCATCAGCAATGGTGTTTCTGACTGCCTCCAGCACCTGTGGGTAAAACAGAAAGATTAAATGAGCACAAGAAATGAGAAAGCATCCCTCAGAGACATCAGCAGACATTCTGCTTCCAGAAAACATTTGCCTGTGAACTGTCAATTGTGGCTGCAAATAGAGATGATAGTTAAGATTGAAACTGCGTGTCAGCCTCTCTTCCTCTTCTTCAGGGGGTTCTGCTACTTCAGCTGAATTTTTTAACCCCAGTGTCTCAAGGTGTTCATGAACTGCTTCAATCCTGAAAGGCAGGGGGGTCAACCTGCTGCTGTTGGGAGTTATGTCATCCAAATCATCCAGAAAATTCCACAGTCACACCTGATCCATGTGCTCTTTGGCACCAAAGGATTTGGAGATGGGAGGCCCCCCAGAGGGGGGGCAGTGGGTACCTCAGCAGCCGTCTCGGCCGAGTGGATCCGGAAGTTCACCGTGGCTTTTGCAGAAGGAGGGATGACATTTACCTAGAAAAAAAAGGAAGGACCAACATTAAAAGGAAGTTAAAAACTGATTAAAATGCCAACTGCAAACTCAGAAACTCAAACAACTCCAGGCCTCAGCCTAATGCTTCACTATGTCCACTTGGTGTGATATCTCTTTCTGTGTTAAAATACTGTAAATCTCATCTAAAATGCAGATAAATACACAAGGGAATATTCATAAATTCAACAAAAATGAAATTAGCTCTTATATAGAAGGTTTTATCTTGAGCTAAGCCCTCTCCCTTCAGAAACTTTACACTGAGAAGTTCTGAAATTTTACTTTGGTTTCCTTTTTAAGCACTACTTTCATCTCATTATCATGTTACTTTTCCCCAAATATGAGATATAAGTCGCTTAACAAATGATGTTACTGAACACACATAACTCTCCTTTTCTACAGAATGAATATTTATAGCTTTGTTAAACAAAAAGTGTATAATCTTTAGGGAAAAAAACATACAAGTAACCAGGGTGTCAGTTCTCTCCTGGCCACTCCGTGTCACTGTTCAGCCACTGCATCTTTGTTTTCTTGTCCAGTGATGCTTTTCAGTAACAGATTTTTCCAGGGACACACCAAACAGCCTGTTTATTTTCCAGGGCTACAGTATTTTTGAACAGCTACACCTCCTTATCAGGGCAAGATCTGGCTGTATCAGCCAGAAGCTGTTATCTCTCAGTCCAAGGTGCAAACTAACCCTGCTTAAGGCAAACACCAGACCTGTCCTACAAACATGAGACCCCACCTGGGCCAGGGAAGTGCTTATGACTGTGAGTTTCAAATACTGTCATTGATATTTTGTAGGATTACACAGAAAACACTCTTTCTTATCTGTCCTAAAGCATTAACAATCTTAAAAGCTGGTTGACAGAGATCAGAGACTTCTGAAAGGAAGCAGTTTTCAACCGTAGCCAAATCCAAGCCACATCTGAAGTAGGAATGAGACTGGTGGTGACAGGTGGTGACAAACAGGGCCCATACTGATCTTATAAATGGATATAAATAGCTGGAAATCAAATGTCCTAACTGTCTCATCCTATTCCATGGAGAAAAATGCATTTGAAACTACCTTGATTCCTGCATTAAACACGGTGACTGCGGTCGTCGTTCGAATCAAGGCGTTGGTGGAAGGTTTCGAGGCAAGAACTCTTAAAAAACACAAAGAACCAAACAAGAATTTTCAAAGAAGTTGAATATTCCTAAAACATAAGCACCACAATTCTACAGGCAATAAGCTGAGTGATGGCTTGTTCAACTAACAAAGTGCTTATTGACAGTAAGCCACTGAATTGTCTGAACTGTAAAATAACTGTTTTCCTGGGAAGATTAGAAATGGCTTCCTCTTTTAAGGTTTATCAAGGATCTGTTTTCTTACCTGCTGACAATAGGTGAAAACAGCCACAGATTGCTCATGATGAGATTGAGAGGAAACCTGAACTAAGGGGAAGAAATAAAGCCACAAATCAGCAAGTTTCTGGTTCTCAAGAGCACAGCGGAGTCACTTGGCTACGGCTGAAACAATTATCTGGGAGAAAGGCCAGCTTAAGTCTCCTCCTTTCCAGGACCTAGCTGTGCTCTAAATTCATAAGCTGGGTTACTCTTCACTTATTAATATGGAAATCTGGGAATGAAATCAAGCTGCTTTCCTCACCTCTGCTGCAAGGTGCTCCATAGTCATGAGCTCTGGCCCCTGGCCAAAGAGGTTGCGCAAGGGGTTCTGCTCCAGTCTACAAAACAAACAGCATTTGGAATTTCAAAACAAAAAAAATAAATAAATCTCTGGCTGTTATTGCTCCAGAAGGTTGACAGGAATTTGATTTCTGAATTATGTTTGAGATGCAATCACACATAGCTCTCATGGTGAGTGAAGCTGCGAGCGCAGCTCCACAGATTTCTGGGCATTCCAGGCATATGCAAAGACTTTCTCTGAAAAACAGCTGAAAAAATCCTGAAGCCTGACTCCTGTAAATACATGGAAATCTAGGAAAACATCCCAGCAAATTCCACCATGCCTGGACATACTAAGTTTTTCTAATCTATATATTTATTAGCCAATTTGCTATCTACACAGACACGTAAAGAGACGATTTATGCAGTCACATTATGACTCTACACCATGTTTACTGGCTTGGAGAATTACCAGCTGAGGCAGCAGGCACGTGCAGGAATAAATTCCAGAGAAATCCTGCAACCCAGACAAAGGAATCTCTATTGCCACAGAGTAAATTAGGGTAGACAGCACTTGTCTTGCTTTTAAAGAATCAACTGACACTGGGAACAGCTGAAGTGAAAAGACACTGCAGACACCTGGCAATTGTCCCTTTGCTGGGAGTTGTATTTCTGCCCTTCAAAGTGAGCTACAAACTGCAATTTCAAATATATTGACAGGAATTTGAGAAAGACTCTAAGTAGATATATTAAAAAAGTCACATAACAGTGACCTGGGAGTCTGCTTGACTGTCTTTGATGTTGGATGACAGGAAACTCTCACCTGGACATGGCTGCTGCAAGAATGCCAATACTTGTCTCCTTAGGAGGAAAGGATGAATGTCCTGGCTCCTTTTCCACAGTGAAGTTCAGTGTCATTGAACCCTTTTCTGTGACAGCAATTCTGCTCAGTGATACATAAATAAGTCAATAAATAAACAAATAAATGCTTCATGCAGCCCCAAACACACACGCACAGGCTATAGATAAAAATAACTACTCTGTGTAATTTTGGTATCATAAAAAACACCCAAGAGGCAGCAACAACGAATCATTATCACAATATTTAGATGTCTGGAGGGCTGATGTCTTGGCTGCTTCTCCCCAGCACAAAATTAAAATGCTTGCAAGGGCTAAGTGGAACATTCTGCTTCTGTCAGCACAGCTGTGATGGACAGCAAGCAAAGGTCCTTGGCTTGCACTTTGTGCCACTGATGCAGCTTTTAGCAACACCAACGCTGCCCCACGCCTTGAAAACATACTGCAGTGACATTAGCAAGGTCATTAATCACTAATTAATTATTGCAAATGAATCACTTTCATCAGGAGCACTTGTGTTCTCCTTACAGAGCCACTGGCTTCTTCACTCCGGCGACGATCCCGTCCAGCACCGCGCTCCCCTCGTCCAGCAAGAAGGAGAGTTTCACTCCTCTGGATTCCAGCAGAGCTGCAATTTTCATTGCTCCCTTCCTACCAGACACCTGGGAGAATCCAGACAGAGGAACTGTTTAGATTGAGGCACGTCATCAGGAAAACACCTCGCTGCTGACAGTGCCTGTGCTACAACCCCACGACTGCAGGGAATCCCCTGGGGAACAGCTCCAGAGAAACCTGTTCAGAGAAGATTCTCCCAGCAAAATTCCCTGGAGATTGTTAATGGCCTGCTAGCAGATGGATTTATATCCACACTGAGGAGTGCTCTCATTCACCAGTCACTCAGTGTTGCTTGAACTTTTCCTGGTTCTTAGACACAATGATATCTCAGAGCTATAAGCTCCACGAATTAGCCATTTTAAACATATTCATTTTAACTATGAACAATGCTTTGTCTATTTTGAAAATGCATAAACAAACCCACCTCACCTGTCTCTCTGTACCATTAGGTGGAACGTTTCTGTTAGTTCTTCCTGATCATTTGGGACAACCCTATGAATCTTAACCCAGCTTTTTATGTCCACCCAAAAACGTGACTCCTGCTGCACCTTCTTTGCAGGAAAGAATCTGAACTACCAGAACACAGAACTCCTGTGTTCTTTTCTCTTTCCTCATCAGACCAAACCCTTTGTCAACGTCACTTAAAGCCAAACAATCAATCTATAACTCTGCCCTCGTGCCTGACACAGTATCTACCCACAGAACCAAGAAAAACAGGGAAAACCTTCCAGCTAAACAATGTTGAAGAAATTAAAGCCTTGTTACCTACAGGAACAATGCAAACAACCTGTTATTTCAGTGACAGGAGAGAAAATCACCTCTTCATCGTGCCCAATGCCAACGTAGAAGGATCGGCGGGGTCTGTAATTTCTCCTCAGCAGAAATTCCAGAGCTTGCAGAATTCCCTGCAGGAAAAGCAGAACATGTTGTACCATCCCTGGGTGTTAAGAAGGGGAATAAATGTAAAAGAATGCAGTGTGATGTAAGAGAAGTGTGATGCTTTCACAGCCCTTAAGGAGATTTTGTTCTGCTCACGGCTGAGTGTTGATTTCTACGGCTCCTACTGAGGATATTCCCATTCCCTGGAAAAAACACTGCAATGTTTGTGTCCATGAGCATGGCAAAGTTGTAATTATCCAAGGAATTCACTGTTCCCTGAAACTGCCTGTCCCACACACACATTGGCTCTGCCCTGAGCCACCAAATGCAGTGATTTTAATGAGCAGTGTATTTTGTACCAGAAGGGCCAAGACAACAGAAAAAACCCTGAGAAACTTAATGTGAAGAATGAGAAATCAAATCTACCATTTGTTATGGCAGATATATATATTTATAACAATATATTTGCCATATTATCCCATCTCACCTGTTTTTTTCAATTTAAACCACCTAATTTTTCACATCAGAAGAAATAACATCTTGGCAGTGCCCGTTTTTGCCACGTTCACTGAAATTGCTCATTTTTTGGGTCCCTTTGTGGAGTTACTTCTGCAGGAAGCACCAAACCAAATTTTCAAGTTTCAAAAATTGGTGATTAAATAACCTGAAACTTTCTAGGAGTGTGGCCTATGTCACAATAAGCAGTCACAGCATCCCTGACATTGGTTTGCTAAATATTTGTTTAAATCCTTAATCACCACAAGGCACAAAGGGCCATTTTCCTTATTAATTTTTCCATCAACCTTTCCCCAATGAGAAATCTTGCCCAGATCAATCTTTTCTGTATTTTATTCCTCTGAAATGTATTTAGTACAACAGCTCTTTGTTCTGCCACAGACTGGATAAAAGACACAGGGTTATTTGTCTATCCTATTAAATAAACATTATTTATTTTGAAACTCAAGCCTTTTTAAAAGGGCCAAGTTTGGCTTTGAATGCCTGTGTGACACCTGGGAAAAAGGAAAAGGTCTACCCCTGATTTCAAACACAACATTTGACACACAATCATGGAATGGTTTGGGTTGGAAGGGGCAGTGAAGATCATCCAGTCTCACCCCCTGCCATGGGCAGGGACACCTTCCACTAGCCCAGGTGGCTCCAACCTGGCCTTGGACACTTCCAGGGATGGGGCAGCCACAGCTTCTCTGGGCAACCTGTGCCATAAAACTTTAAATATGGCATTTAACCAAATACATCTGCATCTGGGAACATGTTCTTCTGATTCTTCTAAGAGCTTAAACTCTGCTTTCTTCAGTAATCGTGGTCACTCCATCTCTAGGAAGAGCTGGGAGAACACTGCAGGGCTCAGGAAATTATCACTAATTCATTTACAGGGGAGCAAGAGAGACAATATAGTAGATTCCAAGAGAACAGACTCCTCCAGTTTACCCTTTGCAGGCTTTTATCTGGCTGAAATGACATTACCAAGAGGACGTACTATGGCAGAGTTTTTGTTATCCAGCGTTCCTCGTCCATAGATGAAACCTTCGTGCTCTGCAGCTGAGAAAGGAGGGAAATCCCAGCCCTCGGGGGGAGCAGGCACAACATCCATGTGTGCAAGCAGCATATAGGGCAGCAGGTCAGGGGCAGAGCCCTGAACAGTAAAGAGGTGGCTGTATTTCCCTACAATTTCATGCTGGATGAACTTTGAAGAAAATACAGCCGGGAAGACTGTTAGGGAAAAAAATTAAAAACACATGTAAAAGAAAAATTAACAGTAATGTGCAATGCTAGCATTGTATATCCCATAGAGCTGTCACCTGCTTAGCCTCAGGGCAGCACTGCAAATAAGACTGATCACAGGAGAGAACAGAAGTTCTCACACTTGTACCAATCCTTCTCACTTTGTATTTAAAACTTTCCTAAACAAACCAGGAATTCTCAGTGCTGGAGCAATGATGGGACTGCCAAAAAAAGGCTGAAGCAGCAGCAGTTATCCTCTTTTCTTTTCCTCTAATGGCATTTAACCATCTCAAGGACCAAACACCACCAGTGCAAAAAGTTGTTTAAACCTTCTCTGTTCAAGCTTTGGCCACGGATACCCCAAAAAAATACACATGTGCCAGTTCTGACAGGTCTTTCTTCAGGAAAAACAAACTAAAAATCTGTTCCACTGTATTCAGGAACCATATATACACTCTCCAGTTTGTTTATGAAAATGCAATCAAGCAGCAGAGATGGCTGAGAATGAAAGTTTAGTACCTTGCTGAATGTAACTCCCAAATTCTGCCATGGCCGTTGTATTCAAGTCATCTGGAGACACAGACACAGTTGGGATTTTAATGGCACCTTCAATGAAACACAAACCAGAAATCACTCAGCACTTGAAATCAAACAATACTCGAATTGCCATTTGAAAAGGGGAAGTATATTTATGTTCCTGAATATTTTCCAGGAGCTTTAAACATTATTTCACAGCACAGCACGAGCTGCCACTATCAAAAAAGACTGATGTGCTTCAGCTGAGCTGTGCACACACAGCCACCAGGATTTCCTCACAGTTCAGCCAAGGCATTTCTGTAGATAATTTGACTCCACTTTTCATCCTGAAGTGTTGAATGATATCATTAGAAATGCTACTGTCCAGGAGCAGCTGCAATTTGCTTGGGTGATCTGATTCCTCATAGGCATAAACTACTCTGGCAGCTGAACAAGCAGCTTAGTTGGCAGTTCAAGGTTCTTTCTCAACAGTAACTTGTGTTGTGATGGCAAGAGTTATTACACAGACTGCTTTAACTATTAAAATATATAAACAGACAGGTCTTTTGTTGGTTCTTTTAGTCTGCTCTGTCATTTAAACAGGCTCAGACACAGCTGCTCTCCAACATCCAGCCACTGTGCTGCAGAACACGGGTTTAACTTAGTCCCAGTCCCAGCTGCCTTTCCCAAGAGCATCTGTCAAGTGAGGTTACAGATTCTTTTGAGGTCTTGTGACTCGACAATTAACACAAAAATCTATTGTGACCCTTCATTTTCCCATTAAAAAAGTATGCAAACATGATTTGCTAGGCAATAAATCCTACAAACCAGCAAGGTATGAGATTTACACACCCAAGCCCTACCTGAACAGTGCAGGGCTATCATTTTCTGCCAGATTGTGGTTTCCTGCACACTGCCAGCCCTCCTGAGATCTAAAACCCTCCAATCTCCTACGTCACACAGCACAAACACAGCAGCAGGGGTCACAGCCAGGCTGCCAGTGGTGAGCAAGAGAGGGAAAAAATCCCGACAGTGACTTATCCAGTGGATAAAGGGATGTCTGGAAAACACCCTCACAGGTGCCTGGGGCTTTTCTGTGTGTACAAGCAGGGAATGGTGGAGAAAATCAACACTGGGTGAGACTTGGTTCAAGAGATTCACAGAAACACTGAGGTTGGAAGAAACCTCTGAGATAAGGGAGTCCAACCTGTGACTGATCCCCACCAGAGCACTGACTGCCACTTCCTTGGACACCTCCAGGGACTCCACCACCTGCCTGGGCAGCCCCTTCCAATGCTTGACACCCTTTTCCAGGAGGAAATTCCTCCTGATGTCCAACCTGACGCCTCCCCTGGCACAGCCTGAGGCCGTTCCCTCTCCTCCTGTCCCTTGTTCCCTGGGAAGCAGAGCCCGACCCCCCCCGGCTCCCCCCTCCTGTCAGGGGTTGCAGAGCCAGAAGGTCCCCCTGAGCCTCCTTTCTCCAGGCTGAGCCCCCAGCTTCCCTCAGCTGCTCCTGGTGCTCCAGCCCCTTCCCTGGACACGCCTCCAGCCCCTCAGTGTCCTTCCTGAACTGAGTGACCAGAACTGGACGCAGCGCTCCAGGTGCGGCCTCCCCAGTGCCCAGCACAGGTGACAATCACCGCCCTGGCCCTGCCGGGAGCCAACACCCGCTCCCTCCCCGGCAAAGCACCCGAGGGGCGGCCTCCACACCGGTCCCACCCTCAGGGGGGCCACCGGCCGTGGTCCGGGAGCCGAGGGAGCACACGCCGTGCGCGGCCCCCTCACCTCGCAGCGCCTCCTTCAGCTCCTGCCGCTCGCCGGCGCTGGAAGGCGGCGGTGCCGGCGCTCCGCGCCCCACAGCCGCGGGACCCGGCCGGGGGCCGCAGGACGAAGGCGCGGAGCAAGGACGGCTGGGGCCACGGCCACACCGCCGCCCCAGCGCCAGCCCGGCACCATGACCGCCCGCCGCCCGCCCGCCATCCCTGCACGGGCCGTGCCCGATGGGCGTGGCCCGGAGCCAATCACTACCCGCCCCGCCAGCGCTTTGGCCAATGGGGTTGCGGGGTGGGCGGGTTGTGCCCGCCCCCTCCGCGGGGGCTGCTGGGAGTTGTAGTTTGGCACGGACATGATGGCGGCGAACGGGGGTGGTTCCCTCTGCCCGCCCTGGAATCGCTGAGTCACGGGATGGTTTGGGTGGGAAGGAACCTTAAGGATCATCCAGTTCCACTGCCTGCCATGGGCCGGGACACCTTCCATTAGCCCAGGTGGCTCCAAGCCCCGTCCAACCCGGCCTTGGACACTTCCAGGGATGAGGCAGCCACAGCTTCTCTGGGCAACCTGTGCCAGGGCCTCCCCACCCAAACGGGGAAGAATTCCTTCCCAGTATCCCATCTAAACCTTCTCTCTGTCAGTTTGCAGCCGTTCCCTCCCGTTCTGTCGCTCTAGGTCCTGACGAACAGTCCCACCCTGGGTTCCTTGGGAGGATCAGCCAGGACCAGGCTGAGGAACAGTGTCGTGCCCTGGGTGTGGCAGCCCCACTCCTGACAGGCTTTAAATCCAAAACGTGCCACTTCTTTCCATGATTCCACCAACCAGCACAATGGAACACTTTTTCTTCACTTCTTTACAGCTGTCCTGTAGTGGATGTGAAGATTTATCCCACTTTCCTATGGCATAAACTGTCCCCGGATGCCAAATACCAGATGGGAACAGCCACGGAAATCCTTCTCTCAAATCAGCAGAAGCAGATGATTGTTCACACATTCTTTATTATCAAAAAAAAAAAAAAAAAAAGAACGAAACCAATATTAAATTAAATAAATTACAAACATTTCTGAACTGGTTATACATCATGCATTTACCAAGGAAGGCTTCAGAGCCGTCACACATCAATGTCACTGTTATTTAAGAGCAATAAAGGGACACTGGAAGCTGAAAATTTCACCAGCATGAATTTGAGCTTCCCTAATTCTCTGCCCAGGCACTTGGAAATTAAGCCTTTGGCCACGTTTTGCCTCCAGCAGTGCTGATATTACATTTATTGCCAGAATTAACCCATGGCTGCAGAAATGAGGTTTCCTTCTGCCTGGGTCATCAGATTTCAGAGCAGTCGCTGCTGCTTTCTATCTGTCTCTCCTGACATCCCATCCCTTACACTTGTAGGAACTGCACAAAACACAATCTCTCTTTTCTGCACAGTCTGTTGCTCTGAGGCCTGTCGGACCTGAAATCAGCCTCCTGCAATGACTCCTGAAGGAAGAGCTGGAAATTGGAATTTTCCTCCTTTAATGTGATGCCACCTCAGAGACACAGAAATATTGATTAGGATAGCTTCTTGTTCCACTGCACCAACCTCTTTGTTGCTCTTTTTTCAAAGGAACACTCAGACAGTAACAAAAGACCATGAGTAATCACCCTCAAAGGTCATTTAAGAGGCTTAATCTCTTGATTTTACCTTGTAGAGCAAGCTAGGCATGGTTCTGGAGAAATCACTGCTGTCTGACATTAAAATAAGGAATAACCATTAGCTAGTGGGTTTTTTCTCTTGGAAACTACCCTCCTTTGGTTTTATTATTCTCTCCTGCACCACATAATCAGGAACTGAGGTAGAGAAATGGTGACTTAGTTAATGAGATGTTGCATAAAACCAAGCTGGCAGGGTCCTGATGTTGTTTCCTTTAATGGCTGTCTAGCTAAGATGGTTCATGAAGCTCTCTTTTCCTTAAAAATGGGATATCTGGGAGCTGGAGGAAAATCCCACATTCTCTTCCCAGAAAGCCTTCAGCAATCTGCTGGTAAATCAGCTCATTAATGTCTAGGTACTCAAAAACTGTACATTAAAGCTTGCTCATATTTCTATTATCTTAGAGTAATAAAATAGAAATAACAGTTTAAAATATAATTTACTTTCATTATTTTAAGGCCCCTCTTTATTTTTTTTGCATTCATGGGAAGAAAACAGACTGCCCAGATTTGCTTCCATTACTGTTCAGGTTTGTTTGGTGACTCCTGCATTTTATCCCAGTGCTGGAAATATTTTGTAGGGAGATTTGAAATGCAAACGAAAAATTGGTTTAGTTGCAATTGAAGACGTACAAGTATGTGTCTTTATCCTAATTTTTTATAACCTTATTTTCATAATAGCCATCCTTGAGGTTGAAATGAGCTGAAGAAAGAAGGGTCCCTTTAACCCTTGGCTTGCACTTGGAATTTTCAGGTTTTGTATTGTCACCTTGTCATTACTGTCACAATCATCAGCACTGGGTAAGAAGGGAAGGCATCAGAAAAGGAAACTAAAATAGCAGTTGTTAAAAGCATCACTCAGATGTAAAAGAACCTCTGTCAGGTTTTTAGAAATGATGAAGATCTCTGCAGTCTGTCTCTGGGTCAGTGAGGCAGGCGAGTTTGCCTGAGGTAGATAGTCCTGGCAGCATCAGTCTGAGGTGAATTTTAGTGAAATTTGTCAAATATAGTAGAGAATTAGTATGGAAATATCATATATTGAACAAGAGGTTTCTCTTGCTGCACAAGTGACAATTTGAGAGCTTGTCCCCAGAAGCCCTGCACAGCCCAGGGTGTCACTCGGGCTGTTCCCTGGTTGCAGGCATCAAATACACTCAAATTTCAGTTTCAGTGCTCTGGATCAATGGCATCATGAAAAATGTGCAGGAAGGGCTTCCTTCCCTGGCCCTGAATTTCCTATTTGTGATCAAAACGAGAAACACCCTTCCCCAAAGCACTTATCCATGTTCTGGATTCAATCTCTTCGTTTCTCCAGTCAACAAGAAGATGAGAAGAGTCAGAACTCCCTTGGGATTAATGTTTTCGTGCCATTCACAGTCTAAGAGCCTTCTCTGAAGTATTGTTTGGTCAGTAAAAAGATCCTTAAAAAACTTAAGGTGGGGTTTGAACTGGACCCTGGGTCTTTTGGGCAGGTACCCAACCCACCAGGCAGGCAGGGCAATATGAATGTAACAAGGAATTCTTACTTCTGATTAAAAGCACATCCTATTAGTAAATAAAACCCATATAATTCAGAAATTAGCCCTTCTGAGGGAGAGTGTCAAGGTCTTTGGGGTGTCAGAAGTACAGCACTGGTTTGAGGCACTGGTTTTTGAGGCAGTGGTTTCTGGGACACTGGGTCACAGAGAGAGGGGAGCAGGGGGGTCGTGGAAGAGGGGCCACAGGGGAGGCAGAGGTGGTGCTACACAGGCAGGAAGGGAAATTGGGGGGGCTGCACTTCCAGACCCCCCGAAGGTCAGTGCACATCCTAGAACGACGTTCCCCGGCAAAGCTGCGCTTTGCAAGAGCCGCTTTCGCTCCAGAATCAAAAGCCCTGAAAGGCTTTCAATGTTTGCTTGTATTTCACTTCATCAGGAAGAGAGGGAAGAGGGGAAAAGAAAGGAGCAGGATGCCCAAATTAGGTAATCCAACGTGGGCAGAAGGGTTGGATTGTGTGAGACAAAGGAGAGCTCTTGGCACAGGTGACTGATCGTCCCCTGGGTTAAGGCACCTGCCTTCAAATGAACTCCCTTCTCCTCTAATCCATGAGATGGCATTTCCTGAGTTCCTGCTTCCCTGGGTTGCTGTTGCCTGCTCCAGAGTCCACTGCTCTGAACACCACAAACAGAGCAGGAAGGAGGGAGGAATCTGTCAGTCCAAGAGGTGTGATGGCCTCTTGCTTTGCAAACCTGTTGTATCCTCAGGTCTTCACAAAAGGATTGGAGGGAGGAGTCTGTTCTGGAGGGTTTGCCCACGCTCTGATGCTCCCTGTGCTCACAGAGCTGTCTGGGTTTCTGAGTGGAACATGCTTCCAAACATCTCCTAAAGGGCACAGAAGACAGGCAGGGTTAGGGCTGGTGCCGTGGCACAGACCCACCCCCCACAGCTCAGCATTGTTTAGTCCCACAGGGAAACACCACCAGAAACCCCAGCCCTTCCCATCCCTTCTCGAGGGAAAGCTGGTGGTGGGAGTTGCTCTGCCTCCAGCTGTGCATGGATAGCATAGCAAAGGTCAACACTGGAACAGATCTCCCCCCAAGACCCAAATGTGAGTGCAAGTCAATGTGTCATTAATAAAGTCTGTGCTGAAAAACTTGACCAATGATCCCTTTTTTTTGGGTGTGAGCTAAACCTGATTCTCCAAGTTGCCCTCAGTGTGTGGAGACCGCAGGTGAACATGAGCTGTGTGGCCCAGAATGGATTAAAGGATTCCCTGTGGGGTAACCTACCTGCTGCTCATCCAGGTGCCTGCCAGAGCTCCTCAGGGCAGGGACTTAAAGTCATAGTTGCAATTAACTTTCCAAAGCATTGCAGTTACCTGCAGTTTGCCCAGCAATGGCTCAGGGGAGTTCCTGTCTAATCAATCCCAAACATGACTTCTGATTTCCACCTTACACCCGTGGCTGAGGTGAGCCCTGGCACTAGAACTCACCTCCTCCAGGTTCTTGAACTCTGCACTGCTTTCATCCACAGACTCGTCAGAGATGGACAGCTCTGTCTGGTTTGGCCTCTGTGCAGGGAAGAATCGAATCCACAAATTACCAGGGTCAAAAGGAATAAAAATAATGACTAACCCAGGCTCAAAACATCACACATGCTCCGATGGAAATGCCCAGGAGAAGGGGCACAGGAGGAATCCTGCTCCCTTTGTTTATCTCCTGTGACTAAGCTGGCATTGACATATCACTCTGCCCAGATATGAGATACCTTAACTTGTTCTTGTGAGATAATTGGCTCCCACTGCCCTGATTCCAACTAAATTACCACACAATAAACCAACCCCTGTTTGGGGAAGGAGCCTGTCTGACACTGTGCTGTCAGAATGTGCCACCTTCCTGCCTTGGCCTTTTCTCCTCCCAACCCAGGGGGAGTTCACGGATGCTGGGATCATTCCTGTACGGGTGAATCTGCTTTGCCTTCATTTCTGAGGGCCAAATTCTGCCTCTTTGTGCAGCTGCCTGTTCCACCCAGCACCAAAC